CTGGTTTGAGCACTGCTCAGAAACATGCACACTGCCCAAGAAACTGGTCAGAGAGTATAGGGAAGGACTGATCTCCTGTGACTCAGCCTTTATTCAAACAGTTTTCTTAGTTTTATTCATCAGCATGTTCCCTGGTGCACCCAGTGATGAGCACCAACGCTGTGCCTTCATGGCCCATTACAAGAACTGACAGCAGCTGGGTTATTTTTCATTCCATTTCTGAACATTTTATATCCTTCCCTTAAATAAATACAGCCACCTGCATCTGCCTTGAAGTCTCCCACTTTTCAAAACTCCACTGCCTATTTCCACTGTGCCCCCAGCTGATCTGTTTTAAAAAATAATACCCTTTTCTTTCACAGGGCCAACAAACACCCACTGATGCTGAAGTACAAGCCTGACACCTTGGCCTCTCAGTGCACATTCCCAATATCTGAGTACTAAGTCCACCACCCACACAACAAGGACAGTTTGCCTGGCAGTGAGCTGAGCTCAGCACTGGCCATACAGCACAGGAAACAAGCACAGAGCAAAACACTGCAGGACTGAGACTCACAAGAGCAGAACAATCAGGCTCCTGAGAAACGTTCCCTACATCTACGCAGCTAGGTTAGGACTGAAGTCTAATGCTATGGAGATGCCACCAATATTCTTAACCTAACACTGGAATTGCCTCAAGTACACAGCAGTCTGCTTTCCCACCACCTGCCATGAGTGGCAGAAGAGCTCTGCTGATGAACTTAGAAGCTGAATTCCTCATGCTCAGCGGGTTCTCTGCACAACAGCCATCCCCATGCTGCAGCTACTGAGCACCACACACACCTCATATTGGCCACAGCATCCAGCTCTGCTTTGTAAAATAATCCTATTAGTTTCTCCTTTCCCACTCCGTAGCCCTTCCCACCCCTTCAGATAAATCTCATATGGCAGCAAACAGGTCAGTGTGCCTCACAGTGGCATTGCTCACACCGATCCCTCAGTTCAGAATAAAACCAACCCTACCAGAACCACAGACATGTAACACCAACACCTGCTCTGCCCCACAGCCACACACAGGCCAAAAGGACACAGGCTTAGAGTTATCAGGGAAAAAACACACCAGAAGCTGCCAAGTGCTCAGGGTGTAACCAGGCCTGGTTTCATGATTAGATAGACCTTTTTTGGAGTGTTTGCAGGAAAGAGGCCATAATCAACACTCTTGAGCCTCTGGTCAAAAATCAAGTTATTTAGAGGAGGTTTGGACCACTGCTTCAGTTGTTTACGAGCAGAGCTCACAGCTTCAGAGCCCTCTGAAAACTGCAACTGCAGCCAGTGCCACAGGAAGGAACGTTCCTGTTTTGCCTATAGCAGCATTGCAGTTTTACTGCAACCCCCAATGGAGAAAAACAAACTCAAGAGGAGACGTTCAGTCTGAAGTGGGTTTTTACATTTCTCTACGAGGTCCAGGAGCAGCTCCTACGTGCTGCAAACAGAACTTCCTTCCCCTTGTCATTTTAATCGTGTTAGTCATTATCAAGGGCACCAGTGTGTCAGCCAGCTGGTTTACACACATTCCTGCCACACTGCATCACTCCAGACAGGCTCCACCAAGCTCTGCTACTCACAGCAACAGCTCTTACATTTTACAGGAGAGTCCTCCCCACCTGTGTCTCTTCAGGAAGGTCTTCACATTACAGCCTGACAACACTTCAAATCTGATTTTACTGCTTCCTTTTTCCCCCTCCCAAAATAATTAACCCCATGAGGATTCCAGTCCATCCAGGTAGGAATGAAATAAGTCAGCAGACAACCAAGAGTTTAAAATATGCATCTGTAATCTGGAACACCTCTTTTTTCCTCCAGCAAAACTAAGCAGTACCATTCCTTCTGACCTTTACAGCAGGCCACGTGCCAGAGCTCTGCTTTGCGTCTCCCCTCCCTGCATTCCCTTCAGAGCTGCACAGAGCACAGGGATATCTGCACTCATGCAGGGAGAAAAGCAAAAGATTCTCACACCAGCCACTCGTTAGTTTTAAGCAGAGTATGTTTGGATTTGGGGTTTATTTTTCCATCTCTTCTTGGCAAATTAGACATGGACAACAGCAGTGATGGTGAGGTATTTACTCTTCCCCCATATCCTCAGTTCTCCTTAGACCTAACCTGCAATATTTACCCACTCATGCTCCAAGAGCACACCTACAAAATACTGTCTACATAACTTTATAATGCTAACAACAAAACTGTCCTGCCTTATGGAGTGAAGTTTAACTTAGTTTCTAAGGCCGTGTTTGAAAGGAAGTTGGAATGTCTCTCCCACAGTCAGGAGCACCTGCAGCATCCCATTAACTCACTTCAAGCCGTGCTGCAAGAGAACAGGAGGATTCAGGAATGTCCTCTCCATCTCTTCAGCTGGACAAAGCTGCATCAAGTAACTGAGCAGCACATAAAGGACAAGAGCTTGGCTGGACTTAAAGCCAGCGAGCACTGGTGCAAAAGCACTTATGAAACAGGAGGTCAGCCTTCTGTGGAGGGCATTTCAAAAGGAGACACCAGAGTTTCAGAATACCTCCCATACACTTCTCAACCTGGGCAGGCTGCATCAGCTAGCCACAGCCTGGCTGCTTCTGGGTGGATAAGGAACTTGAGAAAGAGATGTTCAGTGTCTGCTGTGAGACAACACAGTGAGAAAACACAGTCACTGGTCAACACCACTGTGTTGTGTACACTCAGCCCAGGGCTGTTTGATCTCATCCAACCAGGGGAACCTTCTCATTTTAGTTCTCAATATACTCCAGGAAAGACACTCCCAAACATACATAAAGTCCTGCTGAAGGAGTTGCTGCTTGCTTTACAGACCTCCTCAATGCACCATACAGGTAGGGTCTCATCCCATAGCACCTCTCCACTGCAGTTAACAGGTGTCTCAGAGGCAGAACTACATCACATCAGATATTCTTTGTAAGCATACACTTTAAAATTATTTAAAAACAACATCTATACACTTGAAAACAGAAAAACCCTACATATCTAGAGAAAAATACACACAGGCTGCTCAGTGGAGCCTAACCAGTGAGAAATAAGTTAATACAGGTGAACAGCAGGGCAGTACTCAGCCACTTGGAACCTGAACAGGTTTACAAGGTCTACAAAGGAGCCAGCACCTTCAGGACACCTAAAGCTATGTGCGCTGCCTGAAGTATTTCAGCCAAAATAAACCAGTGAGGAAGGAAATATGGACAGCAATGGTGTTGAAGCAACCTGTAGGCACACTCACACTTCCGGGACCACAACCACACGCTTTGAATGCTGCTGCCCCACTTCTACAATTTGAAGAAAATGCAGTGTTGTCAGAAATGGGGCTTCTGATCGCCTGGGGGAGATTCAGGTCTTACCTGGAGGAGAACCAGGAGAGGAAGCAGGAAGGCTCATCACCAACTGCTCCGTCAGCAGAACCAGCTGTGCGCAATGACAGCTGTGGCACTTTGATTGCAACACCAGATACGCTGCAACATGTACTCTGACCTCTCCCAAAGAGGGTCAGCAGAGCACTCAGTAAGGGACTGCTGCAGGGGTGCAGCACCTCCTTAAGCTCAGCAGAAAGGCACAGGCCTGAGTGCAGAACCAAGTTAGGGCTCCTTAACAGGCAGCAGAACACATGTTGTTCTTAGTGCAAAACCAGAGCTCTGTCTCTTAAACGGATTACTCCAATGCCAGCACAGACCATGGAGTCGTTGGGTTGGAAAAGACCTCTCAGATCCCCAACCCCAGCCCACCATGCCCTCTGACAGTGTCCCTCAGCGCCACACCTCCCCAGCTCTGGAACACCTGTCACAGGAACCGCACCACCCCCACGCAGCCTTTGCCAGAGCCTTACCGCTCCTAACAACACGCTTTTCTTAACGCCCAACCTGAAACCAAGCACGACCCTGAGGGAAGAAGAGAAACCCTTGGGGGAGAACGGGGGTCGCAGCCGACCGAGCCGGGAACGGGACCGAGGAGGAAGGAAAACCACAACTACACCGAGCTCCCCCCCGTCCCGAATCACGGAGCCCCGCGCGGCCCGAAGACCGCGATGTCCCCCCCCGTCCCGGCTCTTACCGCCTTTAGGCTTAGACTCCCCAGCGGCGGGCCCGGCCGAGGCGGAGCGCGGCGGCTGCGCTTTGCCGCCGGCCGAGGAGCCGGGCGCACCGGGGCCGCAGGGGCCGCTCTTGTCCATGGCGGGGGCGGAGGAGGGGGGCGCGCCGGGCGAGCTCTGCAGCATCAACGGGCGCCCCGGCGGGCGAGCGGCGGCCCTGGGCGGGGGGGCACGACGGGCGCTGGAGGAGCCGGCGGGGGCCCAGGCTCATGGCCCGCGGGGGGGACCGGCGGGGGCGGCGCAGCGCGGACTCGGCCTCCTTCATGGCGACATCTTCTCGGCGCTCCGCTCGAACCGGGGGAAGGCCGCGGAAGGCCGGGCCGGGCCTGCGGGGCTCCGGGCGACGACGGAAAGAGCTGCTGACGGAGCCCCGCGGGGCCCGGCTCTGCCTGCCGCCCGCGCGGTCGGTCGGCGCCACGCAGGCACCCTACGGCTCCTCGGCGCCGCCCCGGCCCCGGCTCGGCCGCCGCCGCCGCTGCCCCGTAATGGCGACGAGTCGCCCGCAGCGCTGCCGGGACCCGGATGGAGCCGGGCCCGGGCGGGGCGCGGGGCACGCCGGGAGTTGTAGTGCGGGGCGGCGCGGGGCACGCCGGGAGTTGTAGTGCCCGGCGGCCGCCAGGCCACGAAAACGAGGGGTGTCGGGACGGGGGAACAGACCGCGACCCGTCCTCTGGGAGGTGGCCGTGCTGGGGGCTCCCGTGCGAGCCTACCTCAATAGCACGCAGTGATTGTGACAAAGGGTTGTGAAGGTTATAAAGAAAAACAAGTCCGTTCTGCTGAATTTGTGTAAGATTTGCAAAAATAAATAAAAATAAATATAATAAATACATTAAAAAATAAGAACAATAGATAAATAAATAAAAAGGGGATTCAGACTGAAAAGACGACGGCTTCTTAAAGGGGTTTTAATTCGATCGAAAAATAGCATTTGAATATCCTGAGTGTGTGCACTGATCCCTTTCCTGTTATTTTCTGGGCAGGAACTTCAGCCTCACTGCAACAGCGCTGGGCACAAAAAGACAAGGAGAGTTAACAAAAAGAATACATGCATAACCATACATACGTAACCCTTCAGCAAAAGGCGCTGCTTTTGTTTGTCCCCAGTTCATCTGTTACTGCTCAATCACTGACCAGGTTATGAGTACAGCCACTGCAGGGCTCAGGGGGAAACAAGCAGCCCAGGCAATGTCAGAGAGAGCGCAGACAGCCGCACGGCTTTGAAAGGCAGAACGTTTTTATTGGGGAAGAAGCCTGCTGTAGAAGGCAAATAAACACAAGGAGGGGTTCCTGTTTCCATTTCGCCCCTAGGAACAATAAGAACACCATTCACTCCAGCAAAGCCCGTGCCCGGCGTCCTCCGTCGGTCGGTCTGAGAGCAGCGGGCTGTGGGTTTCGGAACGGCGGGGCGGGGCTCGGCTCTAAGCAGACTTGAAGAGAAGAAGAGCGACGTGGCCCAGGTAGGCGAAGATGAAGTGATTGGTCTCGTGCGTCACGCAGCTGGAAAAGTTCCTCCCCACAACGCAGTGCCACGTGGGGGTGTACCTCCTGTCAAACTCCTGCAGGAGCGGAGGAGAAGGCGTGACCTTGCGGAGCGGTGCAGGGCGGGGTGCCGGTTTAGTCACATTTACCCTCTTTATATGTGCGGCAACGTTGCACTCAGGGCTGTGTTCCTCCAGGGACCGCAGGGCGCACTGCACGGCCTGCTGCTGCATCTCCTCCGGCATGTCCGTGTCCTTTATCACCGCCTTCTGCTCGCCCATGGTCTCCCGCACCAACGGCGTGCGGCCAAGAGCCGCGCAGTCCCGCGGGCAGACGCGCACCGCCGCCGCAACGCTTTAACCGCCCCGCGGATCCGCTAACCCCGCCCCCTCCGCTACCCATTGGCCAACGCCTCCGCCATTCCGTGCGCTTATTGGCCACGGGCGGAAAGCGGAAGATCCTCGCGCCCGCACTCGTTGCTATAGCGACAGGAAAGAGCGGTCCCAGAGCCGGCCCTGCGCTCAGACCGCGCGCACAGCGCCCCCTGCCGGCCCGCCCAGAAAGTCACGTGTAAACACAGCATTCGAATTAACGAAGGAGCCGACTTCGGAAAGCAAATAAATACAAATAACTATTTTTTTTTTTTCCTGTGCCGAACACAACAACGTCCCAGAAGCACTGCGCTGCCACCTGCACAGCACCGCAGCTCCCAGCAGTGGCCGCTACCCAGCCTTGAACAGGAGCACGTTGAGGCCACGCACCAGGAAGAAAATGAAGTGCTTGGTCTCGTGAGACACGTAGCTGCCAAACTTCCTTCCTACGACGCAGTGCCAAGTGGGGCTGTACATCTTCTCAAACTCCTGTGGAAGAGAGCACGGGGAAGTTGGTGCTGGCACAGCTCTCCCCTTGCCCTGGCTGTAGATTTCCTGTCAGGATGTCTCTCTTCTCAACAGGCAGCTATTTGGAAAGGCAATTAAGCAGCACTGTGTGCTGTTTGCTTCAAGGACTGTTACATCTTGCAGTTCACTGCTGCTCAGACTACAGAGAATCAAAGCCACAGTGCTCCATAGCTGAGCAGGAACGAGCTCAGGGGCATCTCCCAATGTCAAAGCCCAGCCTCAGCCCATACCAGGTAAGGATCAGCTCTTACAACCTTGGTTAAGCAGTTCCTCACTCCCAGTTTTCAGGCTCCACCAAGGAGCCACATAACAAGCTGCAAACCATCTGCTCACCACCACCAGAGTGCATTCCTTATGAGAGGGAAGGAAGACTCCCACAAAAGAAGCATTTGGTCCTTCTATAAGATAGTACGAACAGATCCCTCTCAGATCTGCCGTACTTTTGAATTCCTTCAGCAATTTAAGATGGCAAGGCAGAAGGACCTTCATGCACCTCTTGTTCCTTCTCACACAGCCCTAAGAAGAACACCAGGCCCCCAAGCCTCAGGATGTTAGCATGGTTCAGCACAGGGGAGTCAGTACAGAAGCTATGCTGAAAATTATTTCCTACTGCAAATTTCAAACCAGACAGCTAATGTTGCACAACTGCTACAGAAACGTGAACAGAACCTTAAGACCAATTCAGGCACAGTTCAAGCGTTCCTCAGAGGAAAGCTATAGCAGACTCAGTTTTCTACCAGCTGCCAGGCACTGGGACAGGCCAGCAGATGCCCTCCTGTTGCTCAATGAGAACAAAGCAATTTAAAATAGGAGGTACTGCAGAACAAAATAGGAAGGACATAGAAAGGCCTCAGCCCACACCAGGTAAGGGTCAGCTCTTACAACCTTGGTTAAGCAGTTACCTTACACGTGCCAGGTAAGATACACGTAAGGGTGACAAAGAAAAGAAACAGAGGGAAAGAAGCCCAAGGCCCACTGTGCCTTGCCCCCACAGAACTGGCTTTTCTAGGAAGCTCAGTGCTACCCACCCCACCCTATGCTGATGTGAGCAGATCAAAAAGCAGGATATCGCAGTTATTTACCCTCTTTATAAGGGCAGCGATTTCTCTTTCAACGCTGTACTTCTCTATGGCCAAAACGGCACACTGCACAGCCTGCTGCTGCATCTCCTCCCCCATGTCCGTGTCCTTTATCACCGCCTTCTGTTCATCCATGGCCACCTGCACCGACAGCGTACAGCCCGGAGCTGCTGGAGGCACCTCCGGCCCTACAGCCCCGCGAGGAGCGGAGATACCCGGAGCCCACCGGCAGCCCCGCACCGTCCCCCTTCGCCCCGCTCCGGTTTAACCGCTCCCCACGTGCGAGCAGCGCCCCGCGGCGGTGATGGGCAGCGGGCGGGGCCGGGTGGGAGCGCGGGGCATGCCGGGAGTTGTAGTCCCGTGGGCACCGCAGCCCTACTCGAATAACGAGGCGGCAGCCGGGCGGATCTCGACGTTTATTTTCCAAATCAAATCTCCAAGAGGCATCAGCAGAAAAAGAAACAGCTCAGGCTCTGCAACAGTACAGCTGTCAGTATATCCAACAGTACGAGAGAATCAGAAATGAAAAGGAGAGCTTTGGAACAGAACACCGTCAGTACTCACAGAGCATAAGCAGTAATGGGCTGATACTGCAGATGGCATAGAACTCTTAAAGGCCACGCTCCTCCAACAGCTCTACTAGCAAAAATGAAGCCTTTTAGAAAAAAATAAATATAAGGAAGACTTTTTTTTTGGTATTTTTCATTTTCATATCCACAACGTAACACCTTCTGCTATATCATGATCCCTGCCATTGCCCTTGAAGATCAAGGTCTGCGTCCTCAGGAAGGCTGAAGGAACTGGGCACAGGAGCCAGCAGTCCTGCAGCCAGATGCAGCGTCAGAGAGAGTCCGTGGTTTAACCAGACTTGAAGAGAAGAATAGCAACTTGGCCGAGGTAGAAGTAGATGAAGTGTTTGGTCTCATGAGTCACGTAGCTGCCAAAGTTCCTTCCCACGATGCAGTGCCAAGTAGGATTGTATTTCTTGTCAAATTCCTGCAAAACAGACCACTAGATGCTAAGAACACTTCTAAACAGGCATTTAATTTCTGGGCAGGGCAATTAGAGGAGCAGCAGATGCTCTTGAGTACGTTCTAAACAAGATAATCCTAGCATTGTTCACCTGCTGCTTAGTCAGACAAAAAAAAAAAAAGAGAAAGAAAAACACAGTACCTCCCATCTGAGCAGACAGAAGCTCAGAACATTGCCTTTGCTCAGGGAAAGTACTCTTCCCCCTCCCATAATTCATCATCTAAAAGTACAGCCCCTAAGTGAAAGCTTCACCACCAGTTTTGTATCTATGGAGACGAAGCCATTATTTGAACTCCTTTGTTCATCTCTAACACGGGTGCTGATGGGGCTGTTTGTGGAAAACTCTCTGCCAGAAGCTCTGTAATACCAGTGCTATCTACTCAGCTCCTACATAGCTGTGTTTTACACCTATCAAGTAAATTCTCTAGAAGTTTCTAGCAGTTGCCACAAAAAGTACCTGAATAACATTAGGCTAAACTCTCTCTTCTCCACTATCACAGATATCTCCAGCATTTGTGGAGAAAAAATACCTTTATGTACTATGAGCAGCATTTTCTCCAGAGGAAAGAATCTTAGTTTCATAGCTCTGCCATTCAAATCAGAGTCACTTCCACTAAAACTCTGATTTCTCCATTCACCTGGGCTGACTATGCTCCACATTCATTACTGTTAATTTGATATTAAAAAAAACCCACAGTAAGAAGATTAAAAAACAAGCAGATGTTATTTGCTTTGGTTTTTAGTTGTTTGTTTTGTTGGTGTTTTTTTTTTTCTTCTTTTTTGCTTTGGTTACTACATAAGACACAATTACAGTAAACTTACAGAAGAGGATGCTGCCCTACTGTTCCTGTTTCAGCTGTACAGAACTGAAGAGATCCTAAAGATTAAGTTAAATAAAGCTGTAACTGAGAACTCCATCCAACAAGCCTTCTCTCAGAGGGAAGCTGCAGGGGCACTCAATAGAGCCACTGTATTTTGGCCCAGATCAGTCCCAGGGACGGCTCAGCTGCCACTTTTGTGTTCGACCGGACAGGAGACAATGAGGTAAACGCTTAAATGGAAAGTATTACAGGACAACAGCAAAAAGACCACAGAAGTCCACGCAAAGAGCGAGGAAAGCACTCACAGCCTACACAGAAAACCCAGCTCGGTGAGCTGGTATCTCTGGAACTCGTTTCTCGAGCGCTACTCGCCCAGCAGCATTCCCCCCGTCGGTGTTACACAGCGCAGCACCGCAGCCCTTTACCTTCTTGATGTGCGCTGCGATGTCCTTCTCGATGTTGTACTTCTCCAGTGCCTGCGTAGCGCACTCCACGGCGTCCTGCTGCATCTCCTCCGACATGTCGGCGTTCTTGATCACTGCCTTTCGGTCACTCATGGTTGCCTGCAGCGGGCACGGAGCGCCGTGCTGCGGTCACACGCGGCCGTTCCCTCGGACCCCCGCGGCCCGGCGCCGCTCAGAGCCCCGCAGCCACCGCCCTGCAGCCCTTCCGCAACGCAGGGCCGCCGCAACTCGCCGCGCGCAGCTCCCGGCCGGACCCAGCCCCGATGGGGAGCTGACGCAGCCCGGCGCACCCCCCCCCGGCAGCCCCCGCCCCTCACCGTTCCGCGAGCGCGGAGCAGAAGCAGCCCTGGCGAATCGGCGCGCAGCGGACCGGCGCAGGAAGGCGAACGCGCACCGCAGTCAGCCGCTCGTGCCGCCGCCGCGCCGGTTTAACCGACCCGCGCGCGTCGCACCCGCCTCCCGGTGCCCCCAGCCCCGCCCTCTCCGCGCTGCCCATCGGCCATTGGTCATCGCTGCGGCCGCTTCGCGCGCTCATTGGCCACGTGCCGGCAGTCTCACAGCGTTTTACTCCTGCGTTTTCTTTCGGACCGGCGTGCTCCGCGGCCGTTGCCATAGCGACGTGTGTGCCGGCCGCCGAGGTGGGGCCTGGCCATGGCCGGCTCACGGGGCTCCGCTCGCCGGCGTGCTGCCTCTGCAGGGCCTTCCCCGCTTGTTTTCCCTCACGGCTGAACCGCCCGGACGCGGTCCCGTGAGCGCAGCGTGAGGGGCTCTCCCGGTAACGGCGCCGCGCCCTCCAACGTGATAAAGAGCCCGGCGCCTCTGTCGTGTCTCCGAGGCGCCGGCGGTCGCGGATGGCTCCAGCAGCGTGCGAACGGGAAACGGCTCAGTCGGAGCGTGCGAGCCCGGAGCTCTGCCCGTACGCTGCGCTGAAGGAGCGGTGCCGGGCCGGGGCAGCCGGGCGGGCCGAGCGCCGGTAGGACCCCGCGCGGCGGCGGAGCGGCAGACGCGCCCTCCAAGATGGCGGCGGGGCTGAGGCCGGGCCGCGCGCTGCTCTCCCGCCGCCGCGGGGCTCTGTGCGCGCTGCTCCGTGCCGCGCGGGGCCTGGCCGCCCGGCCGGAGACGCATTTCGGCTTCCAGAACGTGACGGAGGCGGAGCGGAGGGAGAAAAGTGAGGGCGGCGGAGCCGGGGTCGGGCTGCAGTCTGTGGGGGTTTGGGGCTGGGGGGGGCGGTGTGCGGCGTCATCCCCGCTCGTTTCATCCCCGCGGAGCCGCAGAAGGGTTACGGGAACAGACGCTGTTCCTCCAAAGAGACCTTTGTCGCTCAGCAAGGTCAATGGGATCCTCTCGTTTTCTCGGTGTAGGGAGTTTTCAGGTGAACTTTCCCACGGTGCCAGACCTCCCCCAGGCGAGAAGGATTTCTCCCGCCTGGTTTCCACGGGGCCGATTTTAAGTCAGTCACATCTCATCCTCACGCCCCTCTCTTTGCAGTTTACCAGGTGTTTGAAAATGTGGCCGAGAAATACGATGTAATGAACGACTCGATGTCCCTGGGGATCCATCGGGTGTGGAAGGACATCCTTGTGCACAAAATGAATCCTTCCCCAGGAACGCTCCTTGTGGATGTTGCTGGTGGAACAGGTAAACCCTCCTGTAGTTCTACATGACCACACCACGCTAGTTCCAAACTTTGTGTTTTCTTGGGTTGAAGTTGCCTGATTTATTTATTTATTTATTTATTTATTTTGCACCTTGGTTCTGCTGTCTTTCATAGTAAAGCATCTGCCTCACTGCAGATTTACAGCAGGTAAAGTTTGATTTATGTTTTGAAAGCCTCACTGTAAGGCTCTGAAATTACCACAATACTGCCATGACATGCTACCAGAAACTCTTTCTTTCTTTTGCAGGAAGATGTGGAATGTTTGCTTTTAGTACGTTCCCTTTACTTATATACATACTTACATACTTTTATTTACATACGTGCTACATGTGGAATGTGTACGTGCTGAGTTTGATGTTCAAAGCATTATGTTCAAATTTCATGGAGTTTCAGTATTTCCAAGTTGAGAAAACATTCTAAAACACATATCCTTCTTCTCAAACAATTGCAGGTGACATTGCCTTTCGATTCCTTAATTACGTGCGTTCCGTACGAGAACGCCAGCTCCAGCAGAAGCTTAGGAACCATCAGAATTTGTCGTGGCAGGAGATTTCTAAGAGTTACCAGGAAGAAAAAAGTAATCCACTGGGGGATTCTCAGGTTGTGGTCTGTGACATTAACAAAGAAATGTTAAAAGCTGGGATGCAGAAAGCACAGCATCTTGGCTACTCTGAAGGTAAGTCATGCTTTGTACCGTTTCAGTAACATGGTTGATAGAATTTGATAAGTGATAGCCTGGTCAGTGATATTGGTAATCACCACTTCAGGATTTAAATTACATAGCCTTGGTTTATACCAAAGCTATGCTTGAAAATTAGAAATTTTAAAAATTAATAACAAATTCTCAAAATGAGTATTTAGTTTTCCACTTTCTTTCTCTGTACAATGCAGCTTTAGAAACTCAGTTGTCTTCCTGTTGCCTGGGTTGTCCTCCTGTGCCATAATTCTGACTTTCTATCTTCTTCACTCCCTCGTTCAGCACATACCCATTGGCTGTGTCCTGCCTTCTGCTCTTCATGCAATTCCCCCCTCTGCCAGGGAACTCATTTCTGAGCTTAACTTGCTCATTGTCCAAGGTCTGACATTCATTTAATTTCAAGGAGCGTAGTTTTTCTTTTACCCTTTTCCCATGTACACATTTCTGTGTTCATATTTGCCAACAGCAGTGCTGTGCATGCTGAGAAGAAACACGAGTGCTTCAGAATGGCTGATGCCAGCAGGAGTGGTAGGGTGCACTGCATGCACCCAGTTCTTGTTTGCCACCAGCAGTCCCTGTCATCTGTCCCCTTACAACCTTCCACCCTGTGATTTTACTGCAGTGTATTCTGAGGGACATTTTGCTGTTACTAAAAACCT